AATTCCCCAGCCAGCTTCAGCTCCCAGAATTCCCCAGCCAGTTTGTCAGCAAGGATCCTGTGGACTTCAACTCCCAGAATTCCCCAGCCAGTTTGTCACCAAGGATCCTGTGGATTTCAACTCCCAGAATTCCCCAGCCAGCTTCAGCTCCCAGAATTCCCCAGCCAGTTTGTCAGCAAGGATCCTGTGGACTTCAACTCCCAGAATTCCCCAGCCAGTTTGTCACCAAGGATCCTGTGGATTTCAACTCCCAGAATTCCCCAGCCAGCTTCAGCTCCCAGAATTCCCCAGCCAGTTTGTCAGCAAGGATCCTGTGGACTTCAACTCCCAGAATTCCCCAGCCAGCTTCAACTCCCAGAATTCCCCAGCCAGTTTGTCAGCAAGGATCATGTGGACTTCATGTGGACTTCAACTCCCAGAATTCCCCAGCCAGCTCAGCTGGCTGGGGAATTCTGGGAGTTGAAGTCCACCTATCTTCAAATGGCAAAAGTTAAATCAAACCTCCATTGCATCATTGGGAAATGCTGGGAATATTTTATATGAACAAAAATCCTGTTTCCGAAGGCCGACTCTCATCCAACCTAGTCATTAGCACCGCAAACCAGCCTTCTTCCCTTGGCTCCTCCCCCTCAACCGAAAACACAACCACACAACCACACTGCCAACTCACAACCAACTTACTCCCCCCGCCCGCCTCTTGAAGCCATCAAAACACCAGCAAACTTTTCAAAAGCTGCCAGAAACACCCAATCAAAGGGGCACTTAAAGCCATCTTTCCCCCTGGCACGCGTCCCCATGGTGCCCTGCGGCTGGGGAGCATGGGCCCTGTTGTACCAGCCTTCCTTTGGAGGGGGGGGGAAATAGAACACCCTGCCTAGGGATTACGTGTAGGCAGGGCAGTTGTTAACTCCCAGGCAGGCTGCAAAAACTGTCACATCATCTTTGAAGCACAGCGTGTTCTTTTCACAACAGGAAGTGCTGTAAAAGGGAATTTTGGGGCTGTTTTTAAAAATAATTTTTAAAGCTGGGTTTCAAAGAGAAACCATTTTGTTGCACAACCAACAACAACAACAACAACGAGTTGCATTCGCTAGGCAAACAAAACTCGCCAAGTTTCTGTTTGCACACACACACACACACACACACCAAAGTGGGGGGGATCCAAGAACCAAAACGTCTTGATTTTATTTTCCTTCCATCCCCAAATCCCGATCGATGTTATGCCACGAGTTTTTTAAAAAAAATCAATAAAATTGTGGCCAGCGGAAAGAGCCGGAAGTTGAGTTTGGGGGTTCAGCTCGCCAGCCCTCTTCCCCCCCCCCTGCCCCGCCCCGAGTCCCACCATAAGAGCAGGAGGGAGTGGCTGTCTGCGAATCCTCTATCGAGACTCCCTTTTTCTAAGCAAACTTTTCAGAAGCGTGGACTTCAACTCCCAGAATCCCCATTTGGGAGAAAGAGGAGGGGGGAGGAGAGGAAACAGAGCTCCTGGGGGATCCTGGGAGTTGAAGTCCCCCTTCCTCTTCAAAGTGACCCAGATTGGGTGGCAGGGGGGGGGGGGGAATTCTGCTTAAGAGGTGAGCTTCAACAGGTGGGGAGGGAAACTCGAGACACCCCAAAAACACTCCTCCAATTTCCCCCCCACACACACACCTAGGGCAGGAAGGGCCCTTTTGAGGTCTTCTAGCCCACCCCCATCGTCGTCCCCCCAAGAAGCCCCCTAAAAAAAAAATAGCAAAAGGAAAAGTGGCATAGAAAACACCCCACTGATTCTTCCCTCCCCCCCCCACCGTGCCAGACTCGCCCTTCTACAGAATCCTATAGGCAGGAAGGACCCCTAGAGGTCGTCTAGTCCACCCCCTCGCCCCCCCCCAACCCAAACCAACACCCCTTTTTCCAACTTTTTTTAAAAAATAGGAGCATAGAAAGGAGCTTACATGGATGGCACCTCCTTCTGCTGCTGCCTCCCCCCTCTTCTTGACGGGGTCTCAAAAGAGGAGCCCCCTCCCCATATTCCCGATCGAGGCCAGGCTCTCTCTCTCTCTCTCTGCGCCCCCCCAGAAGCCCCCCCGTTCTCCGCCTTGCATTAACCAGGCAAACAGACGGTCCCCCCCCTTCCCTCCGCCTACTTCCCCCTCCTGCTCTTCTGCCGCCCCGCCTGCAGCACATGGCCGAGACGGGTGCTTCGCCGCGCCGGCCTCCCCTCCTTCCCTTCCCCGCCCCGGATTACGAAAGCCCTCGGCGGAGAGAACAGACTGTTCCCTGCCCGGGCCCACATGCGGCCCGAGGGGGGCTCGCCAGCCACGACGACCGCCGCCGCCGCTCTGGAGCCTCTAGGCGGGCTCCAGATCCGCGGAGCCCCTTCCCACCATCCCACCACCCTCCAAAGGGGCCGATTGCACGCCCCTTCCTCCGCTTTTTGCACGCGCACTTCTTTCTTTCTTTCTCTCTCTCTCCATTCCTTCCTTCCTTCTTTCTTTCTTTCTCTCTCTCTTCTTTCTTTCTCTCTTCCTCTCTCTCCTCTCTCTTCCTCTCTCTCTTTCTTTCTTTCTCTTTCTCTCTCTCTCTCTTTCTTTCTCTCTTCTTTCTTTCTCTCTCTCTTCTTTCTTTCTCTCTTCCTCTCTCTCCTCTCTCTCTTCCTTTCTTTCTTTCTTTCTCTCTTCTTTCTTTCTCTCTCTCTTCTTTCTTTCTCTCTTCCTCTCTCTCCTCTCTCTCTTTCTTTCTTTCTTTCTTTCTCTCTTCTTTCTTTCTCTCTCTCTTCTTTCTTTCTCTCTTCCTCTCTCTCCTCTCTCTCTTTCTTTCTTTCTTTCGTTCTTTCTCTCTTCTTTCTTTCTCTCTCTCTTCTTTCTTTCTCTCTTCCTCTCTCTCTTTTTTTCTTTTTCTTTCTTTCTTGCACGCCCGTCCCGGGGGGAAAGGAGAGGATTGTTTTGGGTTTTTTTTTAAGGCTCCCCTTCCTTGAGCAGGGGGTTGGACTAGATGACCTCCAAGGTCCCTTGCCATTGTTACATTCATTCATTCATTACTCACGGGGGAGGTGGGGGGGTTGAGATGGGGCGGGGTCCCACTTCTCCCAGCCAGACAGATCCGGAAACCCGCCCCCCCTACCCCATAGGGGCCGCTTGCACGCCCACTCCGCTTTCTGCACGCGCACTTTTCTCTTGCACGCGCACTTTTCTATCTTTTTTGGGGGGGGGAGGCAGGCCTGTCGGGAAAGGAGACGATTAATATTTTTTCCCCCCTTAGGGTCTCCTTCCTGGGGCAGGGGGGGTTCGACTAGATGACCTCCAAGTTCCCTCGCCATTGTTAAATCCATTCATTCATTCATTCCTCTTCCCCCCCTCTTCCCCCGCTTCCAAAATGGAGGCTGAGGCTGGGAGATTGCGCCTCGGGGTGACCCTTGGCATGGGGGGGAGTTGAGATGGGGCGGGGTCCCACCTCTCCCAGCCAGATCCAGAAACCCGCTCCCCTACCTCATAGGGGCCGTTTGCACGCCCACTCCGCTTTTTGCACGCGCACTTTTCTCTTGCACGCGCGCTCTTCTTTCTTTTGCACGCGCGCTTTTCTCTCTTTTTTTGGTGGGGGGGGCAGGCCTGTCGGGGAAAGGAGACGATTAATATTTTTTTTTCCCCTTAAGGGTCTCCTTACCGGAGCGGGGGGTTGGGGGGTTGGACTAGATGACCTCCCAGGTCCCTTCCGACTCTCCCCGTTAAATCAATTCATGAAAAGTACTCACGGTGGGGGTGCAGATGGGAGGTGGTGGTGGGCGGGTGACGCTCGGATTCCTTCCTGCCCGCTTCTCCGGGCACGGTGGGGAGAAGCAGCCAGGGGTTTTACCCGACGCAAGCCTGAGCCGGGGCGAACTGCTCGCCGGCCCCGCGGGACCAGTGGGCGGGCGCTCCCTCGCTGTCCGCAGGCATTCTTTTCCCTTCGGAAGCGCCGCGGAACGGACGATCGGAGCGGAGAACCTCAACAGCAGCCAAGGGAGAGATCTCTCTCTCTCGCTGGCCGGCTCGACTGTCTCTGGCTCCGGGAGGAGGCAGCGCGTCCTAGAAGCCGAAAACGAGGCGGAGCGGCTGGAGGCAGCGCTTTTGCTCCCGAGCCCCGGGTGATGTCAGCCCGGCCCCGGCTTCACACGCCCCGCTCCGCACGTGGAACGCGGTGCTGCCACTGGACGGCTGCGCGGGCCGCCCATTGGCTGGAAAGCCCGGGCCAATCGGAAGGCGGCGCTCCGACTGCATAATTAGAAAGGGGCGGGGGCGGGGGCGGACTGAAGTGTAACCCGCTGTAAAAGAAGAGGGGGAGAAAGGAGGAGGGAACGTCAACCGGCGCCCTCCGTCCCAGAATAAGGAATAAGCGCTTGGATCTCTCATCAGCTAGCCACACCCTTACTGGGATTTGAACTTGACCTATTTTACACGCTAGGCAGATTATTCACAGGCCTGCGACTAAAAAGCTTTTTATTTTCATCTAATTTTCATGTATTTTGGTGTGCTGAAAACCCATAAAATATTGGAAAAAACTTATTTTCATCTAATCCCCATGTATTTTGGTGTGCTGAAAACCAATAAAATATTGAAAAAAACTTATTTTCATCTAATTTCCATGTATTTTGAAGTGGGCTGGAAACAAAGAAAACATTGAAAAATCTCCTAGACGTCATGATTTGCCACAACATGCAAAACTGTCTTCAAATTTATCAATTTTGTTTAAACTTTTTGGTATTTTTTTAATATTATGGGTTTTTTAACCAAATTTAAAGTCCAAATTAGTATTAATTAATTCACAAAACAAAGAAAACATTGAAAAAACTCCTAGACGTCATCATTTGCCACAACATGCAAAACTGTCTTCAAATTTATCAATTTTGTTTAAAGTTTTTGGTATTTTTTTTTAATATTATGGGTTTTTTAACCAAATTTAAAGTCCAAATTACTATTAATTAATTCACATAAGTGCGTTTAAGATATAAAATGCCAAAAAAAAAAAAAAAGGGTTTGTCCGAGTTATGTAACATAAAATATAGCACTGTAAATCTGATGGTCAGCAATATATACATAAGCTAAGCAGGTTTTAAATCTATGCTTCTAATGGTAGAAGGGGTTAATCTTTCCTGATTTTTGGTATTTTTTTTATATTATGGGTTTTTTAACCAAATTTAAAGTCCAAATTACGATTAATTAATTCACAAAAGTGCGTTTAAGATATAAAATGCCAAAAAAAAAAAAAAGGGTTTGTCCGAGTTATGTAACATAAAATATAGCACTGTAAATCTGATGGTCAGCAATATATACATAAGCTAAGCAGGTTTTAAGTCTGTGCTTCTAACGGTAGA